TCATCTGGCAGCTCCTCGTCTGCCACATGCTCTGTCTCCTCTACAAGACCTTCAGGTTCCCGCAGCGCCTCTTGCGCTGCAGGCTGCTTGGAAAACTGCTTAAAGGTCTCCCAAGAAACAGAGCCGACGGAAGCACGCTCTGACTTCCGCATCTCGGCAAAAACTTGGAAAACGTCTGTAAACGAGAACCAATACAAAAACTGGAAACAACGCACCTTTTCATGAAGCTGTTGCTCCATGGCGTCGGCTGTCTCCGGAGTGGGGCCCGTAGTGTTGAAGGGGCGCTTGCCCACCTCTCGCCTAAAGGAAGCAAAAAAACCATCTAGTTTCTGCGTTCCTCCAACTCTAACCTCTTCCACCCATTTGCTGCCGTTCCAGATCCTCATCTTGAACTTGCGGGCAAACTCAGGGTGTGGAGGCTTGTGACGCACATTGCTATGGGCCAGCTTAAGGTGCGAGAAGGAAGGACCTGCCAAGACTCCGCTGTACAACGCAGGAAGTGGTTCATCGGAATCTAGCTTCTTGTAAGCTTTAGCGCTGTCAGTGTGGCAGACACTGCCTACGGCGATTCTGCTGGTACCCATTGAAGTCACTACGATGTCCTTCAACTCCTGAACACTTAGGGGTCCGCCTCCACCTTGTCCAGACGCTGTGAACTTCAGCGGTAGCTTCTGCAAGAAAATTTTGGCGCTTCCCCGCCGCACAATGCCAATGTAGCGGATCCACATGACCTCACTTACAAATTTTTAAGAGTCCAAGTAAGAACAACATCCACACAACGTCACACGGTCTACTTTCATGATTCACACCAGTTTATAATTTACGACTTTCCTCAATTTCGCCAAGCAGCTTGGTCATCCAAGGCTTTGCTGCGGAAGCTGATTTCATCCAGCTCAGTGTCTGCGCCAGCCGAACCAACTACCAGCTCCTCGTTCAAGCGATCCACAATGGGTGTCAACCAAGCTCTAAAATTTGAGAAAAGATCTCTGACGGTTCTGTGATCCAGACCCAAAATCAACCCAGCTTGATCGGCACTCACATTGATAGGTGACAGGAACAACCAAAGTGCACCGATCAGTGAACGCAAAGCACATTTTTTGTTGAACAAGTCGTTGTCATGTGAGAGCACGGATTTTGAACAACGGCAATTCTTGGACTTGCACCTGTATGAAGCGTGGTCTCCCTTGGCTTCAATGCGCCAATTGGATTCGCCACACCAGTCACATGGGTCCAATCTTCCGTCGTGCAATAAATTCATATCCAAACAAAGCTCCAGCAAATCCTTTGGGCCTGCAGACAATATGGCATCTAATGAGTAGCGTGTCCAC